GGAGTGCTGTGATGTAGGTGCCCAGAATCCTAATGCAGGTGCAAATGAGAAAAGTTCAAGCACTTCCCAGGATGCATCCTCCACTCAGAGAATGCGTATAGATCCACTTGGTAGGAGGGCAACTATGTTGGTGCAGTTTCTGCTGGAGAGGTATAAAATGAAGGAGCCTGTTAAGCAGGCAGATATGCTGAAGGTGGTCAGCAGGAAGTACAAGCAGCACTTCCCTGACCTCTTCAGGAAATCCTGTGAGCTCATGGAGCTGATCTTTGCATTGAGTGCAGAGTCAACCCAGCACTTATTCCTTGTCAGCAAGCTGGGCTCTCCATTGAGGGTAGTAGGGGCTTGCCCAAGACCGGTATCATCATGACACTCCTGGGTGTGATCTTCATGAGGGGCAACCGGGCCACTGAGGAAGAGATGTGGCATTTCCTCAATGCCTTGGGGATATATGCAGGGCAGAGGCACTTAATCTTTGGGGAACCTCGGAAGCTAATTACCAAAGATTTGGTTCAGGAAAAGTACCTGGAGTACCGTCAGACACCTGGCAGTGATCCTCCTAGCTATGAATTCCTGTGGGGTTCCAGAGCCCTAGCTGAAACTAGCAAAATGAAAGTCCTGGAAATTTTGGCGAAGATCAATGATACGGACCCCAGGGCTTTCCCTGTTCTATATGATGAGGCGTTGAGAGATCAGGCAGCAAGAGCAGGAGGGAGGGCTGCAGCTGGTACCCACACCATTGCCCAGGCTAGGGTTCCTTGCAAATCCATGTCCTTCTGTGCCTCCCAAAATTAGTTGCATCTGAGGTAGTGTTTTTACTCTGTGTTTAAAGAACAATTTTCTGAGTAATGGAGAGTACTATGAGCTGGACAAAACAAAATGTATGTCTACTTTTCTTTTCATGTTAATATTAGGAACATTGTTTTATCTGTTTACTTAATTTGTCAACATTTAATTTTAAGTGGTGATTTATTTTGCTTCAAGATTTCAATTTTGTCATTTTTCCACAATTCTCTGCTTTTTAATAGCCTTTGAAAGTCACACTTTTAGTATTTATAAAATAAATTCACAAACCCGAGTTTCTTTATCATCTAGAAGTAGGTAACGGTAACATGGTACTGTAATGGAAATGTGAAAGAATACCAAATAAAAATACTGTATCATATTATGAAAGGGAAAAAGTAAAAACAAATGTTAACCATGTCTGTTAGTTGCTTAATTCTTTGCACTATATATATTTCATTATAAATAAAACATACCTGTATTTATTTCCTTGACTTAAAAAAGTACATTTGTTTTTAACCCAGTACTCTGCAAATTCCCTATTATCTATTGGACATAAAAAGAGAAAATAAAACCTTTGACTGGAAAGTGGTTTATTTTATCTGTTTATAAGTTAATCATATGGAATGCATTTATCAGTATGAACCAGAATGAGTTCAACAAAGTTTATAAATAAATTCTTTGAATTAATTGGACTTCCAAAGATTTGAAGTTTCTTATCTATCTGTGATATAGTTGACAATTTTTCCTCATATCTTTGAGACAATAACAACATATAAATAATCATATAACTGTAATTCATTAAATACACAATATTCCCAAGTCATTATTTCATGTGTTATTTTTAATAGTACATACACCCAATATTATTAGTAGTTAGTACTTGGCAGACCCAATTCACAGATGAGTAACTTGTGAATCTCTCAAGATCACTGGCATGTAGTTAACAGAGCTGGTAATAGTCTCCTGGTATGGATTTGTCTAGTACCCAAAATGTCTCAGTCTTCCAAGCTTCAGCTAGATAATGTATCTTGCAATTTATTTTTCTTCTCAATACTCCAAAATATATTTCAGAAGATTAAAAATCTAGTATCCAAAGATTGCTTTGAATACACTGTTAAAATAATAATGCTGAATAAATATGTAATGTGAATAAAGAAAGGAAAAATAATATTCAGGTGACAGCACTATCATCTACATATGCAATGTCAGATAACATGAACTATCATCCTGATCTGACATTTCCCTAGAGAAAGAGAAAGTAAATGCATTTAAAACAAAGTTACACAATAGGCTTAAGTCTGCCTAGTGAATGAAAGGAATGGATCAGTGTGTTTTTTCTCTAACAGTGTACCTGTCCTATACCTTCTGAGTTGTGCTATAGTTTCTCCATTTCATATGGAGCCTGTGTATGCAGTCATGTGTTAAATTCCCCATCTTTAGACAAAGAGAAAGGGTGAGAAATGGGGGCCCCATAAATGAGGATTCTGGAGGTCAATGATCTAGGATATATGGGTTCCTGAAAGACTAAGCAATTACTACTATGATATCTAGATGTCTCCAGGCAGACTGAAAAACTGAGAATCCCATTTATTCTCCCAGGTCCTCAAGGATATGAAACTTATTCTAACCATGGTGTTGCAGTCTCATGGATAACAAGGTGAGGATGCTGAATGAGGAATTAGAAATTTCCCACTCCAAAACAGCATGGGATCCTGAAAGTGTATCTTACTCTCTATTCAAGGTGGCCATGGGAAGAGCTGCCATGTCCTTTCCTTCTGAGACCCTGTTGGTATCTCAGGGAGTTAAGGGTCTTGTGCTTAGGGCAGTAGTTCCAGTTCTGCATGAGTGGTAGGTTCTTATAGGTTGTAGATGGATTTAATGTCAGGACACTGACTGTTGATGAGTAGACACCCCCAAAGAGGGTATCAGGCAGGTAGCAAAAGATTAGAACCTGATCTCTCTGACTGGTTTCTCAGTACAGTAAAGACTTTGGTCTGAGGTTGACAAACTCACATCTACAGATGAGAAGTCCAATAGACTACCTGGCTCAAAACCTAAGTGAGGGGTGAAGGAGCCACTGTCCCCAAAACAGTGGAGTTTCATTGAATTCTGAAGCTATTATCATCTCTCAAAAGATCTCCAACAGCTGTAGTCAGATGTAGCTCCTCCTGACTTCCAATTTGGAGATTACAGAAAAGTGACCTTGGTCTCAGAGTGGCCTCATAAAGGTGTTCCAGTTCAGGTTAGGAGACAAGGTGAGGGCCCCTAAATGAGAATAAAGGATCCTACCCTAGAATAAAGGGAATGTACAGTGCCCCTGCTGTGAGCTCCAGGAGGCTCAGAGAAAAGCTGTCATGATTAAGTGTCCTGTCATTTTGTCTTGGAGTAGGCTCAGGCCGCTGAGATCTTGGTCTAACAGGAGCACCCCATTTAGCAGAAAATGGAAAACTAGTCCAAAACCAAAGTCAAAATAATGACCTTAAATAAGAATGGCAGTACCCCTTTAAGGACAGATGGGCCCACACAGAGCCAGGCCATTGATGTGGCATGCCTTGCTACCCCTTAGCAACGCTGGGAAAGTTGGCATGATGAGTCACATTTCTTTCCTTTTGGTGCATCTTAAGGAAGTGAGACACTTGGTCTAAGGAACCAGGTACAAGTTAGTGCAAGGAAGAATACAAGATCATGCCAGAGTCAAGCTGAAGACTCTGGGGATTAAAAGAAGCATTTAAATCATAGACATTACAAAATTACTCCCAGACTGTCAGCCATGCTTGACCACAGGCAGTTCAGTTAAGGTGAGGTAACCCTTTAATCGTCCTAAGTGGTCATAGTATAATAATGCCTATAGCATAAGAGAATAAGTGTTAGTCATGGAAATATTCTGTGAGAGGACCCAAAGCAAGGAGCAAAGAGAGCAACTGAACTAGAAGAGAAAGCATCCCACAATGTCCTGCTCATTTCAGCTCTAGGATGCTTTAGACAAGGGTATCTAGATGTGTCTCACACTCACTTCCCACTCTGACAGATTCAGGTCACTAGAGGGAGGATCTCAGATCCTGAGGACTAAAAGGATGACCAACACCAGAACAGTGAGTGAATGTTGTAGTCTTGCCCCTACTGGCAGCTATCCCGAAACAGCTAGCTATGGCCAGATATGGTTAACTCTGACTTAGATCTCTGGGGTCTCAGGGTAGTTAAGATTCTTAGTTGGAGAAAGGATAATTCAGCCCAGGCATAAAAAAATTTCTAGGTTGTGCCAGGAATTCCAGTGAGGACTCCAAGGAAAGAGTGGATCATGAAAACCATAACAATGCAGTAGCACATAATTTCTGTGCTGTCTGTCCTGGGAGATGCAGAAATAGATGTCAAGCAGAGAAGAGGTAGCCCTCAATTCCTCTTCAGGATGAGAGAGAAATAGAGCTCTGATGACAAGATGACAGTAATAGGCATAGAAAGGGAGCAACTGAAGGCCTCCCACGAGTCAAACTGCGGAACCTGAGAGGGAACTGATGAGGGTGACCATTATATGGCCACAATTTGCCAGAAAATTTTTCTGTGTTAAGAGACCACAGACAGCAGATTCGCAGTAGCAAAGATTGTGTAAGCTGGCTTCTTCACCAAGTAAGATACTGCCAATTTATAGGCAAAAAATGTATAATGACTAACCTTTAAATTATCTTTATGGCACATAACAGCCCCAGAAGCCTGGGCACTATGGCTGCCAGCTGCCATGCTGGTCCACTGAAAATGGTTTCTCCTTGATTTCTTTTTCTCTTTTCCTTTCTCTGAAGAACAAAACCTTAATGCAGAGAACATGTTCTGAAAGCACCTGGGTTGTCCTGGACCCACCAAAATTCATGGACACGGAACCTCTAACTGCTGCCTGCTTGCAACTGGGGCCACCGATCTGGACACCACCAAGAGAAACTACAACCCTTTCAGGTGAATGTGCTACGCCATCTGCTATGGAGGAAACCACATAGTTGAGCATAGCTTGGGAGCAGATTACATCCCTCTTGGACAAAACTGTTGGCCTAATAATCGAAGGGAAAATTCTAGCTCTAACTGGTAGGGGTGGGGTGGCACAGCCAGTGGGACTTTTTCTATAAAATACTGGGTTGAAACAGCCTGTGTGAGGGAGGTGTGTGTAAAATAACACATTTGACCACCTTGGAGAAACTGGTGGTGAGCTAAAACTAGCAGCCTTCCCAGACAGAGCACAAAATAGCTTAATTCCAGCTCCCAGCTGGGCAAAAGGGGCTGGCCACTACTTACACATCAACTCCTCACAGGACTACTTTAGATAACCTGCTTATTCAAACAAGCTAACCCTGACTTCTCACTTTCCCCAAGAAGAGGCTGGGATTAAATACCCTGAGTGTAACCACCCCAAACTTGTCTGGTAGAAAAGAGCACCATCAATTGCCACACAGGCCAGCATATCAATCCTAAGAGGGGACAGCACACAGATTAGAAATCAGAGGGAAGCACCCAATGCAGTCATTGAATTCAGATGAAACCCACTCCTCTCCATAACAAGGAAGAAATTTGAACCATATATATACATGTGTGTATATATATATACACACATGTATATAAGCACATATGTAATTTTTTGATACTTACATCCTTTTTTCATTCTGTTGAAATTTTAATTTGTTTATCCCTCTCTGATACCATTTTCACTTTTCTCCCCTTATTTTTTTCTTTCTCTGCTTTTTTCTTCCTTCCCTCTCCTTATCTTCCTCTCTTCCCCCTCCTTTTCCCCATACTGTCTCTATCCCCTCCACACTAACCACTCACTGAGTACCAACTTTACACATTACTCTCATTCTTCCTATCCCTTTACAATTCCTGACAGTAGCACCCTCACACACAATGACTTAACTACACCTTTACACACATTAAATCCTTATACCCCATATCCCCCACACCTCATTCCTCCTCTAGTCCTTGTCCCACCCCTGTCTTCTCTTCTATCCCCATCATTTTAATTACCTAAGTAT